TTTTTTTTTTTTTGAGAGGTTTTTGCTATAGGGCGCATACGCTCACCAGAAAGAGAGAGACAGCGAGAAATCACCCCCCAGAGGGATGGTCACGCCGCAATCCCTTCTCCTCCATTCTCTTCTCGGGATCTTGGGCACACACGCACACGCGCCCGGCATGAGTCTAAGCCACCGGGTCTGGGACTCGAACTACAATTGATTACATGGGAGTCCAGCGACATAGCCATTATGGCAACTGCTGGTCCCGGGACTTACCCTTTTGTAACTTCTTCAAACTGTGCCATGGGAGGTGTCTGTACAGGTTTGGGTACGCCCCTCAAGGTGTCGGAGAAGTGTGCGGAGTTGGGACAGCTTACACAACTAGCCTTGGCACTGGTGCCTTTCCGACAGAGCGAGACAGTGCGATCGGAGAGTTATTACAAACAAGGGCTAGCGACTTCGCTGTGGCTGCGGGAGGGGAAAGAAGGTGGGGCCTGCTGGACTTGTTTCGCTCAGATATGCTCCGGTGATCAATGCATTTACTGCACCGGCACTTACCACGTTGGTATTTTGGACACGTTCACAGAAATCGGAGTTGGAGTTGCCTACAAGTTGGATGATGCAGTCATTCCTCACTTCCCAGCAAACCAAGAAGTCTTAAATGAAGTCGAAGTTTAGCATAATACTCTCCCGGGCTGGCACACAGACATGTCAACTGCAAGGATTTTTAAAGAACTACCTGTTAATAAAACAAACGAATCTCCTGCAATGAACAGCTGGGTGCCATCTGGTGCACTCATGATGAGCGGCCGCCCCAAGATGCCCGTCACCCCAGAGGAGCCACCAGTGTGCTCCTGTCTCTAGGGCAGGGGTCCACAGTGCAGCCCTGGCTGTGCTCTGAGGGTCCCCAGGCCCTGCCTTGACCTCATCCCTGGTCCCACGTCCCAAGGAGGCCAGTGGCAGAAGGGGAGCCGGGATCTGTCACGTTCCTGGGACCCACAAGACCCCACCTGAGATGGGAGGGCCTGGACGGCCAGCGGACGTGGTATAGCGAGGGGTGGGCGAGCTGTGGGCGCTGCCGTCTGCCCTCCACACCCAGGAGCAGGCTTCAGGGCAGGGCTTTGGGGCCACCCGGGTGGAGGCCCCAGGCACCATCTCCACTAGGCCAGTGTGCTCGGGTCAGTGCTCACCAGACCACCCACACCCAGGACGGCTGGAGCTGTGGAGGACCGCATGGGGAGGCGGCTCCTGGGGCTTCCTCCCAGCCCTCCCTGCACCCTACCCAGCCCTCCACCCCAGTCAGCTTGGGCAGGGGGCGAGGAACAGGGGTCTGGGCAGAACAGGAAGAGAGTAATTGAATCAGCACTTCTCGCCCCATCTGGAACATTCCAGGAACAGCTGGGGAAGCAATTTAGAGACTTTAATTAAAGGCCGATGCCTCTCCCAGGGAGCCCCACCCCCACAGCAGACATTGGCCTCCCACACCTGCCCTCAGTGTGTTCTGAGGCACAGCAGGCACCAGGCCTGGGGGACCCACACGCCAACCCGCCTCTTCTCCCGCTTCCAGAGTCTGCCCTCTGAGCCAGGGCCAAGCGCCAAAGCCAGGCGACCAGTGCCCCCTGCGGCTCTGCACCGAGAGGGAAGAGTGGGTCCTGGGCGCACTCAGAAAAGGAGCGGTGGGCAGGACAAGGGTGGGGCAGCAGCTGCAGGCATGGCCGCCGCCCGAGACCCCCCAGTCTGCCCTCTGCAGGGAGGTTCCGGGGGAAGAAGCAGCGTGCACACAGGCTATGAGGTCATTGTGGCATGCAGGAGCTGGCAGGGGCAGTGCAGGCGCAGGGCGCATGAAGGATGCAGGGATTGGGCAGCTCTTCTAGGGCCTGAACACAACAGTCGGGCCAGGCGTCTGGTCTTCATCCTGGAGCAAGGGGCCGGGGGCGGGGGTTGCAGCATGTCAAATCACGGAGGGACCTGACATACCCAGGACATGCTGCTGTCATTAGGAGCACGCAGAGCAAAGGAGGAGGCCGGTGGCTCGAGGGGCCCTGGAACTGTCCGGGCGCCACAAGGGTTGTCTGGGGGACTGTGCACATGGACAGCTGGGAGCCAGACCAGGTCCAGGGGCTGTCCTTCCTTTCCTCCTGCCCTGCTGCCCAGGGTAGGCTGCTGGGCACATCCTTCAGTGCAGGGGTGGGGACAACAGCAGGAACTGTGGAGTGCAGCCTGTCCCCTCTGCACGTGGTCATGTAGGTAGGGCCAGCCCTTCCCCCTCTACCCAGGTCAGAGGTCCGAGCTGGGGACAGAGCTGTGCGTGTCTCCTCCAATCTGGGCCCACATCTGCCCACCACATTACACTGTGGCCGCTTAGCAGGTGCTGGGATGGGAGCCAGGGGTCAGCCCCCAGCCCTGCCTCTGGCCTGACCCAGAATGGAGGGGCCCGGAGCAGTGCAGGCCCCTCAGGGCCCTCCAGAGAAGGGTGTCCACTAGGCCCAGAAACTAGCAAGAGCGGGATGGGGGGTGTGGGGGTAAAGGAAGGTCCTATTGAGGCTCTTTTCTGCACACCCATGTCACTGACCCCACGTCCACACCACTGATGGGGGCCTGTGATGAGGACAGTGACCTGGGTGACTCATGGAGCTACAGAAGACCTCACTGGTTAGCCAGAGAGGGGCAGGGACTGACAGGCCACCACTCCCCCAGAATCCGCCCTAGCTGCTTGAGCCCCTGGTCCCAGGGCAGGCAGCAGCTCCTAGCAACCCAGAGGTGGAAAGGCCACATCAGAGCCCAGGATGGCCACAAGGCCCAGGGAGCAGCCTGGGTGGGAGACGGGCCTGCCCTGGGTCACTTGGGGCAGCCAGGCTGCGGGCCTCGGCCTAGGGCCCTGGAGGTCACTACCAGGGCGGCCGGTGGGCACCTGGCAGGCAGCGGTGGCCAGAGCAGGTGAGAATCATACTGAGGGGCCCTCCATCCCAGTGCGGACGGGCACCCCAGCCTGCCAGCTCTATCCTGACTCCGGTAGTAGCGGGCAGCTGGGTACAGATGGGCATTGGCTCCCCCCCCCCCCGCCCCACGGGA